AAATGTTGGTATTTGCTAGTTCAACTATTTTATTTAATGATTTTTTTTCAAAAATGTCTAATGTAGTATTAATTCTTTTATAAGCACCACAAAAATAAAGAAATAGGAAACCAGAAACAGCAAAAAACGTTGGTTGCCAATAAAAAATTAATAGCGACGTCAAACTCAAAAATCAATAATGTCATAATCTTGGAATAATATCAAAAGATAAAATTTACAAAAATAAAGTTGATCTATTCGAAGATTTTTTGATAAATGACGCATATCAGAGATATGAATTTTGTGCGTTACTTTAGGTCACACTATATAGTTAAAAAGTATTCAATTTTTCATATTTTTACATATTATTAACATTTTAGAATCGTCGCGTGAACAAATTTACCTTTCTTGTAGAATTTTAAATAAGAGTGATGCTGGTTATCATAGATTATTAAATTTCATCGTTTGATCTCGACGCAATGTGAATTGAAAACAAAATTTTCGGTTGTCATTCAAGTTCCTAAGGGAAATAATTTTTATATTACCCTAAAATTATTTATGGATGTTGTTTCTCCAGTTTATTCAACGATTTAGGAATATGATTATTTTAGTTATTAATCATAGTTAAAAATGTGCTTACCTCAAGTCCCCTTTTTGTAAGGTAACTTCTTCAAACACGATGCGTATCCGCTCCTTATATCTGCAAACAATATAAATCAATTTTAGAGTCCATTAAGGTGCGCTATGAACTTTATAATACACCCAGGATAATGATAAATCATACACTTAAGTGTAATCTCGGATTAATAATTTCCTATACTTAACGTTCTTCTTCGTTCCAAGTATGTGCGCGAGGAGATGGGGAAACTAATTTAATAAAATGAGAACAAATTTAAAATGAACAGGCAGCATCTTTAGGGAAATAAACCTAACGACATATTTTATAAACGGAAATAAAAGAATTTCGTATTTCAGTAATCAAACATTTTCCGCTTTTTCTAAAAGCGACATATTGAGATTCAAGATGAGAAACTATTTCTAATCTCATGGAAAAAACTACTTTTTATTTAAATGCAAATCAAAGCAATGCGCTGCAGAAAACTTTATTTCAACCATATTGGGAAAGTTTTCTAAGGTAAATAATAATTCTGCTGGGCTTGCATATACCATCACAAACTTTTACTGTTGTTAATAATTTTTTACATAATTTTACTCATCAACAAACCACACAAAAAGTTTAACTATTATTAAAATTTGAACTTTTCTAGTATTTTTTTAAATACAAATGATATACAAAGATATTGTTAAGTCAGATCATATCATAAGATATTATTTTCTATTTAATATTGTTTTGTAAAACTTGTAAAAAGTAATTACTGAAGAAATACCAAAAATAGTATATCATATAATTAGGAGTAAAAGTGACAGTTTAGTGCAGTTAGTAGTGTAAAATGGCGAATGCTGATGATCTGCAATGTACCTCTCCAGAAATTGCTGAAACAGTTGGTAATTGTCAGTAATGTCATGGTAAAAGTAAAAACGTCTAGGCGCAAAAATAGAATTTTTACTCCATGGTTAATAAAATGATAAAATGAAAAAAAAAATAAGACAGTTTTTATGTACAATGCATACATTAATATTAACATAAAATTACCACCTAGGATTTGAATGTTTAGGAAAATTACATTCCTCATGTTGTATGTAACTAGTATTATTTTTGTTTTTTCTTAATAGTTTAAGTAATGTCAATATTGAAACACAAATATCTTGTACATTATTTTTATTGTCTTTTTGGACTTAGCTCTAAAAATTGCGTAAAAATAAGCAACAAATCTGAAATATCTTTTAAAAAGTGGCCTGTGTTGTTAGCTGTGTGATGTTGTTTACAATAAATAAATTTGGCTGCCAGCTATTTAAGGTTTATTATTGAATTTACATTTCCCCTTTTTTTGATTTCAGTGTTTGTTACATTAATTAAAAAAATCATCAAAATTAATTAAAAATCGCTAAAACATTTCGTTTTACTACAACTAAAAAATCAATTATGGTGGATGCGCCGGGAATAAATATTGTTTATAAAACAAAATTTTAAACATTTAAGACTGATTAACTGTCCGCAAACAATCAAATTTTAACTTAAGTAAATAAATTTAATTCTGGATTAATATTTGCTTTGCGTATCTGTCAATCGCTCAAAATCTGTGATTTGTTTGCTTAAAAACCACATGTTGATGTTTAAATATTTGTCAGTGTTTTTTTTTATTTTTTTTAACTTAGCTATGTACTGTTATTCTAAAAATAAAACAAGTAGCTTACAAAGCAACTAAATTACAAAAAAATTAGAGGTTAAAGTTAAGCATACCTGGCCCGAAAACGATAGGAGCATCGTATATTTTTGGGGTACGTTGAAGGATATCTAGGCGAGTAGAATTTTCCATAAGCTTGAGTTTGGTCTGAACTTGGAAACTGGTAATCACACATAGTGCTGGGTAGTTTTAAACCGTCTGTCTTAAATAGTCCTGAAATAAAAAAAACTGGATTTATAAAAGTAAAAAAATGGTGTCATTTTATAAAAATTAGAAATTGTACAGTTTTTAGTTGAAACAATTAATTAATAAAGCTGAAGCAACAAAGCAGTCGGTATCTTACATTTTGCATTAATTGAGCCGGGATAATTAATACAAATTATATAAGATAGTAAGTATATTTGTTGTGTCGGAGTTCGCAGATGAATCAGCTTGATTTCATGCTAGTAACATCAATCTCCACGATCATTAATAACGTTTAACTGTTGTGAAACGCTTTCTAACAAAGTGAAATGTAAAAGAGCCCTCTTAATTTATATATAGCTATTGTTCTAAACGTTGTGTGAAATTGAATTTCGAAGAATTTTTCTTTATTGAATTTTATAATGAGTCTGTCGGCGATGTGTCCATCAACCTGTTAACAGCCTCATAATTCACATGGAAATTTTTCTGCTTCTGGTTCAGACATCCTGGGAAATTAATTATTAAAAATGAACTGAGGGAAAGATTACCGAAATATTTTATTACTGGAGAGTAAAACAATACAAAGAATAATAGCACAAAATAAAAACGTTGACTAAATTGTATCTGATTCGTAAATGTTTTGTCGAATTTATTGGGGGGTTGCGGCATAGCCGCTTTCCCCCGTGCAAATTTTATAAGAGATAACATACTTCTCATTTCGGTTGCAATATATTATTACTACTAATATTAATGTAAATTACAATAAAATAAAACGTAATCAACTAACATTATGTACTAATTTTAAGTTTTAACGTCTTGAATATGTAATTACATTCCTTGGTATGGAAGTAATTTGTATATTTTTTCGCAAACTACGTCAGCAATTATTTAAACAAATGTGATTTTGAATAAAATGGTATGCAAACCTGGGAGGGATGACCTAGTTACCACCTTGGTTGCAATATTGCTATTTATATTGATGTATTTGTAATTTCATAAAAATGAAATGTAATCAAGTAACAGTTTGTTCTAATTAAAAGTTTTATTGGTTGAATTTTTTTTACAATACTAAATTTTTAGCGGTCTCGAAATATGTCATTACATCCCTTGGTATGGAAGTAATTTATACAATTTTTTGGCATAGCAGCTACGTCAGCATCAACTTTAACAAAAAAGTACATGTTTTATTATTCCAAAAAATGTAATTGTAAATAAAAAGTATACAAACCTCAGAATGATTACATATTTCAAACGGCGGTTGTAATATACTATTACTACCTATATACATAACTAAAACGTATTTTTTTAAATTTACGACTTGTTCTAAGTTAGGTAAACGATTTGTCGAAATTATTGGTGTGAAACTCACATTACGTGATGTTTTGTTAAAATTATTGTTCACATTATCTGATGTTTTATCAAAATTCACTATTAGAATCACAAATACTTTATTCATCAAATTGGATTTAGTTTTATTAGATTAGATTTTATGTTATTTGCAATTCTAACCTTGTGGAGGACTTGAATATGTAATTACATCTCTTGGTAATTTTTGCAAACTATGTCAGCAATTATCTAAACAAATGTGATTTTGAATATAATAATATACAAACCTCGAAGTGATGACCTAGTCACCATCTCGGTTGCAATATACTATTGCTACTTATATTGATGTAAATCTATTTGTAATTACATAGAATTGAAACATAATCAACTAACAGTTTGTTGTAATGTCGAGTTTTATTGACTGATTTTTTGTCACAATAGTAATTTTTTAGAGGTCTGGAAATATCTTATTACATCCCTTGGTACGGAAGTAATTTATGCAATTTTGTAGCATAGCAGTTACGTCAGCATCAACTTTAACAAAGAAGTACATATTTTATTATTACAAAAAATGTGATTGTAAATAAAATAGTATACAAACCTCGGAATGATGACATATTTCCTACCGCGGTTGTAATATACTATTCGTGCCTATATACATAACTAATTATCTAGATTATTAATTATCTAAGTAATTATCGTAGAACTCACTATAGGAATCACAAATACTTTATTCATGAAATTGTGTTTTGTAGAGACTAACATGAAAATTACTCAAATATTTTATCGCTAGAGAGTAAAAATGCGCTTTGCGTCAAATAATACAAAGAATCATTAACACAAAATAGAGATTATATGAATTTAGCTCAAAAGCCATCCTTTAATTCATTTCAACGGCATCAATCTCCTAATGAAAAGAACTTCAAAGCGTTTGCAATCGCATAGTCGACATCAGCAAATTCATTCTCTGCAAATAATTTCGAGAAGAGTCTTTTTAATTATCTTCGGCTAGCAGCCAAAAATAAGAGAAAATCTTCCTAGTTCGTTGAACATGTTTTCATAATTGGTATATTTCAAACACGGCTTTTAGCTTTTGGTAGAAAATTAGATTCGTATCTTTATTATGTGCAAAAAGCTATTTATGTACACAAACACAATTATTTTCAAACTAAAATAGTTAAGAATGAAAATTGTGGTTCATATTTCACTGCTCGTCTGTAAACAGAATGAATGTGTACGAAAATAATATGTAAATATTTGTTCAGCAATTTAGTCCTGGAATGTAATTTTTCGTAAACCTTAATTTCTGTACGGAAATATTAAACGCAATGCTTTAGAAATCCATAATAAAAGTAAAGAAGCTTATTTGTTGCATTAAAAGGCCTTTTCAAAATATCGGTTTCCTCGGATTATTATTAAATATCTTGAATTTCATTATGTGAATCCGTAAATTTCACTGAAACGGTGACAAAGAAGCTCAAATTCAATTTCACGAAATATTTCAATTGCGTCGCTTCTTATTAAGATTAATTAACTCGCATTCTGAAGTGTTGAGCAACTAATATTATGTACTAATTTAAAGTTTTATTTTATTTACAATACTAACCTTTTGGAGGTAGGGAAATATGTCATTATATCCCTTGGTATGGAACTGATTTATATTTTTCAACATCGCAACTACATCACCATCACTGTGACAACAAGCGGATGTTTTATTGTTTAAACAAGTGTGATTTTGAATAAAATAGTATACAAACCTGGGCAAATAACATATTTCTCATTTCGGTTGCAATATACTATTACTACCCACCCACCTATATTAATGTAAATTACATAAAAATGAAACGTAATCAACAATCATTATGTGTTAAGTTTAAGTTTTATTGGCTAAAAATTTATGCTATTTACAACCTAATCTTTTAGAGGTCTTGAATATGTAATTACATCTCTCGGTATGGAAGTAATTAGTGCAAACTACGTCAGCAAAAAAAAGATTATTTTATTTTTCAAAAAAAGGTGAATGTGAATAAAATGGTATACAAACCTCTGAGTAATGACCTAGTTACCAGCTCGGTTGCAACATACTATTGCTACTTATTGATGTAAATGTAAGTATTTGTAATTATATAAAAACGAAACGTAATCAAAAATTCAAATTTCAAGTTTTATAGGCTAAAATTTTATTTTTTTTACAATCGTATTTTTTTAGAGACTGTAAACATGTCATTACATCTCTTAGCATGGAAGTAATTTATGCAATTTTTTGGCGTAGCAGCTACAACAGTATCACTTTGACAAAAAGCAGATGTTTTATTGTTTAAACAAGTGTGATTTTGAATAAAATAGTATACAAACCTGGGGTGGTAACATATGTCTCATTTCGGTTGCAATATACTATTAATACCTATATAAATCTAAATTACTTAAAAATGAAATGTAATCAGCTATCATTATAAGATTTATTGGTTAAAAATTTATGCTATTTATAATCCTAATCGTTTGGAGGTCTTAAATATGTAATTATATTTTTTGGTATTGAATTAATTAGTGTAATTTTTTGCAAACTACGTCAGTAAAAAAAGATATTTTTTACTATTCAAAGAAATATGATTGTATATAAAATAGTATACAAACCTCAGAGTGACCTGGTTGCCAGCTTGGTTGCAACATACTATTGCTACTCATTGATGTAAATGTATTTGTAATTACATAAAAACGAAACGTAATCAAAAATTCAAATTTAAAGTTTTATTGGGTAAAATTTTATTTTTTTTACAATCGTATTTTTTTAGAGACTGTAAACATGTCATTACATCTCTTAGTATGGAAGTAATTTATGCAATTTTTTGGCATAGCAGCTGCGTTAGCATTAACAAACCTTGGAATGATGACATATTTCCTATTGCGGTTGCAATATACTATTGCTACCTATTTTACAGAACTCGCGCCCCAGAGAAAAATGCCATATAAGGTTTTAGATACCAGGAACATGGAAAAAATGTTAAAAAAAATTATCTATAATAATTTCGGTGTTATGAGGGTTTAAAGTTTGCACTTTGACTCTATTTATTTCTGTTGGAAAAATAATTTTCCAAGTTTTTTTGCTATAGGCTATTAAAAGAGGAAACAAGGAAGCTGTATCCTAAATTGCAACTGTGTTCAATGTTATTTGTGGCTTTTATTAGCAAAATTTTTGTCTTTTTACTAAATAATTGTAAAAAAACATATACAAGATCATCAGTATCCTTAAATAGATATAAAAAAATGTCAAATGTCAAAAAATAAATGTCAAAATTTTTTGACAGTGATTTTTTTAAACATTTTTTTCATGTTCTTGCTATCTTACTTTACTTGAAAATTTTCTCTGTTGCGCGAGTTCTGGCACACCCTGTATAATTAAAACGTAATTGTTCAAATTTACAAAATGTTTTAAGTTATTACTTAACAATTAATTAAAATAACAAAAAATGTTAAGCTTTTTAAAGTTTCTTTTTAGGACAAAACAAAAAGTTTCGTATCAAACTTTATTTAAATGAGCCATAAGTTATGAAATTGTAACTAACAACTTACAAGTGCACTTTTATTCCAACTTTTATAGTTCCATAAACGAATATTTTATAAGACTGGCTTTGAGCGTTCTATTCATTTTTGTTCACGTTAGACTGGTTTTATAGGAAAATGTTATTGAAATAGCTTGTAATTTA